GTGCACGCATACTTAAGAAACTGAGGCAGAATCCCATGTGGCCAGGTTAGTTGCGGGCCTAACATGACCAAGGCTTTGGCTGTAATAGCATTTCCAGACTGCATTAAGGAATTAAAGTTGACTTCATAAGGCCTATGAAAAAGCCCTTTGGAAAACTGGCCAGATACCCATCAGTAATCTTTCCTGATCTGTGGTAAGTGATGAAGGTCGCTTGCTGATGGGTCTGGGTTCCTGATCTGTGGTAAGTGACAAAGGTCGCTTGCTGACAGGTCTGGGAATGGTAATGTCATACAGGCATCTAATGGCACAGATGAAACATGGGCTCATGAAAGGCTCTTGAGAAGTCCAGCCTGAGAATTCCTTGTAAAAGTCTCCAGCAACCCCCCCCCCCGACTTAAGGCCTACATAGGAGCAGAGGTTTGCACACAAACTCTTGTATGCCCCAAAAGTTTCTGTATGCTTTGCTTAAAGATTCAAAGTAACTGCCTCCAAATGGCATGGTTAGTAGAATAGACATTCAAATCGTCTCTTTCCCCCAGAGCCTCAGGCTTCATCAGATAAGAACAAAGAAAGTAATAACTGACATGTTCTTCATTAAGTTATGTTAAACCAGGTTATGTTGAAAGGATTATGCTTAAAGGTGTATGTTGGGTGGATTATCAGATTACCAGGGAGGAGCTACTTACAGGGCGGGTGGTCATAAACTGTTTAAATGGATCAATGAGGTCATTGCTGCATTGTACTCATGTACAAAATTACCTATATAAGCCAACTGCAAATAAAGAAGCTCGCCATTTTGCCTGAGCAAGCAGATGGTCACCTTTATTTAAAACACAATTTCAATGCGTGTGCTTATTCTTCACGACATGGCTTTTCCGTGAGACCTTTATGGCAACACCCAGGAATGGATTAACAAACTGTGGTATGTGTATACCATGGAATACTATTCAGCCACAAAAACAATGGTGACTTTACATCTTTTGTATTAACCCGGATGGAGTTGAAACACATTCTCCCTAATAAAGTATCATAAGAATGAAAAAGTAAATGGCCAATGTACTCAATACTAATCTGAAGCCAGGAGAAGATCTAATACACACCTATAGAAGAGAAAATTCACTTCAAGTTGGTGGATGGGGGAATGAGGGAGGAGGAGAAAGGTGGAGAGAAGAGGATTGGTGTGCTCGCACTTAATGGGCATAATGTTAAGCTATCTGGCACTCCTGTTGGGTGCAGGACACAACTGCAAGAGGGACTCTACCTTACAAAAGCAAATAATGTAACCTAGTTGTTTGTTTTCTAAAAAAAAAAAAAAAAAGGATTAATAAACCTTTGACCACATTAACTAGAATTAGAAAAATCAAGATCTCCAATAAGCTCAATCAGAATCCAAAAATGGGGATATAACAAGAGATACCACAGACATACAAAAGATTGCCACTGAATACTACAAAAAACTCTATGCTTAGAAATTTGAAAACATGGAGGAAATGGACCAATTCCTAGAATGATACTACCTCTCTAGACTCAAACAGGAAGAAATAGAATTCTTGAATAGAGCAATATCAAGCACTAAGATTGTAACAACTATTAACAAGCTTTCAACAAAAGAAAGTCTTGGACCAGACAATTTCACACCAGAATTTCTACCAAATCTTCAAAGAAGAGCTCACCCCTCTATTACAGTACCTATTTCAAAACATTAAGAAATAAGGAACCCTCCCCAATTCCTATGAAGCAATTTCACCCTGGTACCAAAGCTGAAAGGTTTTGACATACCAAAAAAAGAAAACTACAGATCAATTTCATTAATGAAAATTGATGCTAAAATACTCAACAAAATATTAGCAAACAGAATTCAGCTACACATAAAAAAAAATAATTCATCATGACCAAGTAGGCTTCATTCCTGGGATGCAAGAGTGATTCAACATATGCAAATCCATAAATGTAATTCACCACATAAACAGAAGTAAAACCAAAGTATGATCCTCTCAAGAGATATAGAAAAAAACATTTGACAAAATTAAGCATCCTTTTTTGAATAGAGCACTTAAGAAATGTTTCCTTTATGCCAATTTTCTTAAACTGATAGAAGCCATCTATGACAGGCCCTCAGCCAATATCCTATTGAATGGAGAAAAACTTAAAGCATTCCCACTTAGAACTGGAACCAGACAAGAATGCCCACTATAGCCGTTACTATTCAACATAGTTCTAGAAGTCTCCTAACCAATGCCAGAGAAGGATAGCAAGGGTATCCAAATAGGGACAGAGGAGACCAAACTATTGCTCTTTGCTTATAGGTGAGCCATTTTTTATCTGGGAACATATCCCCCATAGATAAGTGTGGACTAATGTACGATCCCCTTGCCCTTTTTTTGTGGATACACACTATAATTAGCTTTGAGTCAAATAGTCTGACTCCAGAACCTATGCTTTAAACCTCTACATAATAATGTTCCAATATTAAGTCTTCTATTCTAGGAAATGAAGGTTTCTTCACTTATTAAGATCTTGTTTTACATCCTTCAAAGTACTGTATTGATATCTTCATATCGATATCTCTTTGTTAAATTTATTATGTTAATGCTTCACTAAGAGGCATAGAGTTATTTTTTATTTGTTTTTTGAGACAAGTCTCACCTTGTCACCCTCAGTAGAATGCTGTGGCATCACAGCTCACAGTAACCTCCAACTCTTGGGCTTAAGCGATTCTCTTGCCTCACCCTCCCAAGTAGCTGGGACTACAGGCACCTGCCACAAAGCTCAGCTATTTTTTTATTGCAATTCTCATTGTTGTTTTAGCTGGCTGGGGCCGGGTTCGAAGTTGCCACTCTCAGTATATGGGTCCAGGGCCCTATCCACTGAGCCACAGGTGCCACCCTGGAGTTATTTTTTAATATTAATTTCTAATTGGCTATTGTCAGTCAAACTATTCTTTTAAAAATATTTACTTTATATTATGTCTCTTATTGGTTCTCATAATCTTTGATCAAGTCTCTTGAACTTCCCAAGAATATAATTATCTACTCTAATAATGATTATTTTATTATTTTTCCCTAAACTTAAATAATTTTCTTTCCCATCAAACTAACTAGACTCTCCCAAAGAATATGGAATAATAATAGTGATAATGGTGATCTTTCTCCTGGTCCTTATTTTAAGTGTAATGATTTTAGTTGATATAACATCTTCATTTCCTTCTTATGTATATTCTTTGTCATATTAAAGAAGATTTTCTCTATGTTGCTATTTTACCTAGAGCCTTTGTTTGGGATAAATACAGTTGTCTTTCAGTTTCTGCACTGATTGGTCCCAGGACCCTCATGGATACCAAAATCCATAGGTGTAAAAGTCCTTTATGTAAAATAGTGCAGTATTTGCATATAGCCTATGCACATCACCCTGTATACTTTAAATCATTTTTGGATTACTTATCATATGTAATGCATTGTAAATATTATGTAAATAAAGGGCTACCTTGAAGAAATTGAGAGTTCAGTTCCTGAGTACTACAATGTAACATGTATTGCAATAAATCAAATTTTTTGGTTTCCCAATACATATAAAAGTTATGTTTTCCAAGCATGCTGATGCTATAAGCTGAAATATACAAAATTGAGAGCTGGCCAGAGTGGTGGCTCATGCCTTCAATCCTAGCAGTTTGGGAAGCTGAGGCAGATGGATTGCTTGAGCTCAGGAGTTCTAGACCTGCCTGACTAAAAGCAAGACTCCATCTCTACTAAAAATAGAAAAAGTAGCCAGGCATTGTGGCAGGTTCCTATAGTCCTAGCTACTCCGGAGGCTGAGGCAGGAGGATCATTTGAGCCCAAGAGTTTGAGGTTGCTGTGAGCTATGATACCACAGCACTCTACCCAGGGCACAGAGTGAGACTCTGTATCAAAAATAAAACAAAACAAAAAGAAAAAAGAAGTATATAAACAAAAAAAGTAAATGGCATTCACAATGCACAAAGTGACTCACCTGGATATATCTCAATAATGCAAACTAGGCAGGCTTAAGATTAAAGTATTATTACTATTTGAGATAGAGCCTTAAGCTATTGCCCTGGGTAGAGTGCTGTGGCATCATAGCTCACAGCAACCTTGAACTCCTGGGTTTAAGCCATTCTCTTGCCTCAGCCTCCTAAGTAGCTGGGACTACAGGCACCCACCACACTGCCTAGCTACTTTTTGGTTGTGGTTGTCATTACTGTTTGGCAGGCCCAGACTGGGTTCAAACCCACCAGCTCTGGTGTATGTGGCTGGCGCCTTAGCTGCTTGAGCTACAGGTGCTGAGCCAGATTAAAGTATTATATAGGTGGGATGCCATTACAACCAAAATCATAACAGATTTTATTCCCAGAACTAGACTAATTCTAATATTTATACTTATATGTCGAAGAAAAATGAAAACACCTCTAAAGATTAAATTGGATAAATATGTCTTATCAAACATATCACACTTTATACCTAACAGGCTGTGCTAGGTGTAAAGCTATAGTGATTATAACAGTGTTGTGCAAGGAAAGATAAATTCATGAATGGAGCAGAATAGACAGTTACAAATAGTCTCATTTGCATATGGCAACTTTATTTATGTTAGCATTATAGATTAGTGAGGAAGGATGGGTTTCAATAAGCAATGCTGATATAACTGATTATCTAGATTTAAAAAAAATGGAATTGGACGTCTATATCATACCATATAAAAAAATCAGCCCCCCAAGTTATATAATAAAGAAGGCAAATTTCCAGGGTCAGACAAAAGTTACAAGAGTAGTTTATTTATTCATGGAATGTAGTTGCAATTTTCAGATCCTTGAGGAAAAGACAGTGCCTCAGGCTAATGAGAGCCTCAGGTGGAAAACTCAGGGATAAACAGACCCATAGCCATTGAAACTTAAGAAAACAAGTCACTGAGGAGAAAAGTATTAATGGTAATTATGGCCTATAGTTGTTACATTGAAGGTCTTTGAAGGACGATCAGATGTGGGCTCAGACAGTGATACTGTTCTCTATGCAGCTGGGCTTCAGATATTCATAGGGAAGGTCTAGCTGCTCATTTCGGGCCACAATTTCTTTTTCCAGGTTGTCTAGATCTGTTTGAAGTTGTCTCAGCACAGCCTTGGGCTCAGAGCCTGAGAAATATTCTTCTTTGTGATGCCCTATGGGCACCTGAGACACACCAAAAGGATGAATTAGCTCCTTAAGCCAATACACAGGTACCTAGAATACAGCCCCTCTCTCTACCTCTTTCCTTTCAGAGGTCCCCTCTCACTATGTCCAGATGTGGCCAGCTCAGGAGCCATGTGACAGTCATTTCGAGACAGGCCTTGCAGACATCAGGTAGAGACCCCATCACTGTGGCCATTGTCACATCTTCCTTAGTGGTGGGTGGGGGCATCTGCATTGTGCATGGGCCATTGGGGATCCAGGCATACCAGTCAAACTGGGAGAAGAGGAATATGAATTCACTTAGAATTTTGACTTTGGAACATGAGTTCCCAACTGCCTTCTTCAACTATTCCCCCCACCCAGACACTTGCCCTCACGGCCCCAGGCTTGCTGTTGCCCAAACCTGGCCCTGGGTGATGGCCATGTGTTGGGCAGTACACGTGAAAATGCACATGGTAAGGAAACGACAGAGCTCAGCCTGAGAATGGAAAGAGACAGGAAAACCTACAAAGAAAAACCAAATTTTAGAAATTAGGGTCTCAGGACACAAGGAAATAAATATTGATATCTTGGGATGCCTGTGCCTCAGAATTAATGAATATTCATTCATTCATTTATCAAAAAAAAATAGACCTACTATCTACCAGGGGGATACATTACTTTAGGCATGAGGGATACGTTACTACACAAAATAGACAAAATCCCTGCCCTCTTATAATTCAGATTCTAGTAGAGAAGAAAGATGATACATTAAATAATAAAGTAAAATTGTACATAGTATGTTAGTGATAAGGATAGAACAAAGCAGGGAAGGTAGATATGAATAGTCAAGGAGGGGTGGCTGTTAAGAGAAAGCATCAGCCCCAGTGGACACTGGGCAGAAGCCCTCACTGGCTGTGGTTCTGGTGTGGCTGGGCCCCACAATGTGGCAGGTTAGAGGCAATCTGTGACTGGGGGTGGAATTAATGACCAGGGTCGCTGAGAACACTTCGTCAGTTTCTAGAACTGTCCTGAGTCTCAGGAGGTGTGAATGGGATTCAGATGTTTTCCTGCATGGAGGGAGGGGTATGTGATGAGGGGTTGGGGTCAGGTGCTCCTGTCTCCAGGACAGATCTTACCTCGGTCCTGGGCCTGGCACAGCCCCACCTCGGTGATCTCTTGACACCAGGCCTGCAGCTCAGGGTCCCCCCTCACGACATCATCCCTTTGGTAGAAGAGGTGGACGATGCCCTCCACATACCTGCCCGGAGAAGGGAGGTGAGCTCACAGAGTAGAAGGCTCCAGCTTCTGAACTCTGCTCCTTTCTCCCTGGCATCTGCCCAGCTGCTGTATGTGGGGAGGAACCTCATAACACTTGTCTTTGGGGATATCCTCTGTGCCTTAAAAACTCTAGTGTCTAATGGAAGGAGGTGAAGGTGAGTAGTTCTAGGAGCTTTCTAGCAAAATTCCGATTTTTCCAGACCCCCAGTCTGCCTACCAAACTCTCCTAACCTGTGTTCTCTGCCCCATTCCTGTCTCTTCCCTCTCAGAGCCCACCCACTCTCTGTTCACCCTTCCTTGTCTCTCCCCAGACTTGAGCTCTTGGCTCCTCCTGGCTGCCTCTCCTGTTTTCATTGTGCTTTTGCCCCATGCTGCCCTCAAGCCAGAGCCCCTCTCCCAACACCCCTCCATTCCTCAGCTCCCTCTCACCCACCGGGCAATGATCTCCCAGAGCTGTAAAGCATCGTGGGCATAGAGAGCACTTGGAATTCCCAGCAGGCCTCGGTCAACCAGGTCATCAGGAGGACAGAGGGAGCGGTAGGTCAGCTGAGCCATTGCCCAACAGAACAGCTGCACACGGCCCCCTTCACCTATGCTTGTTACCTGGGTCAAGAAAAACTACAGGTCTTGAGGGATGGAAGCAGGGCTGGAGGACCGTGGCATAGTAGTAATATATAATGGAGTCAGATGTAGGTTTTTCCAGTTTTAAAGACATGGCTATAAAAGGCACAGTTCATGAGTTTAAAGGTAAGGACTTTCAGTGATCTTGGGTCCTAAAAGTAGCCAAAAGTCATGGAGAAATGAATAAGGCACCCCCATGGCCCATTTCCCCTTACCTTATCCAATTCTCCTCCATCTGAAATGAGTTGAGTCCGGGCCCGGGTGTTGATTTCCATGGTGTAGCGAAAATGTGGGATCAGGAGCTACAGAGGAGATGAGTGATGGGTGGAGAAGCCATGCTTGGGTCTTTCTTTGTAGGGCCTGGACCCAGCATGGTGCCTGCTCACTGCTGTTCTGATCACTTACTCTCCAACTTCCCTGAGAGTTGGGCTCTGGAGCCAGACTGTGGGGGGGGTTTAAGCCTGTGCTTCATCACTAACTGATATTTGTCCAAGGCAATAAATAATCTAAGTGCCAATCCTATCTGTCAACAGGGGACAATATCAGAGTCTTTTATTCTATGTACTGTGGTGATGCTTATGTAAATGATATATAGAGACTTTTTAGAACATTGCCTGGTGCCCACCATGATTGTGAGTATCCTTTAAAATCAGCCTTTGGTTTATATCTTCTTCCATCTATATATATTTACAGCTAACACTAGCTTCTTATATCAAATCTGCATCTCTAATCTCTAGTTATTTCACTCTTGCATTTTTTAAACTTTGAGGTTGGGAGTTACGAGTAGATAGGATATCTTTAGTTGATTTTAGAGGTGCCACATACAGGGTGGCCATAAAGTTCGTGTTCAAATTGCACACGGACTTTATGGCCACCCTGTAAATTTACCTGCTTTATCAGTAGAGAAGCTGTCATTCAATCTGCTTCCACCCCAAGTATGCACTGCTGGGCCCCCTCTCCTTCTTTGCTTTGACTATTAAAAAAAGGCCATGTGAGCCTCACATTTATTTCCTTAGTCTTAGACTACTTTGTCTTCATTTCATCTCAGTTGATATGCAGAATTCACACAATTTTGGTATTCATATGAATTGATACTGGACAGAGGGAAGGGCCCAAATGATATGGCTGGATCTGAGTTATCAAAGCTGCTCATTGAAACTTCAGAAAGTTGATGGAAAAGTCCCAAGTCCACATAAACAGGGAAGATACCAGAGGACAAACAACTTCTAATAATATTAACAATAATAGCAAGAACTAATATTTTTATAGCAGTTAGCCTGTGTCACATTGTTCTTTTGTGTTACTTAATCCCACAACATCCCCATAATGGAGACCCTATCATCTTCATTTACAGGGAGGACCATGAAGTTTATCTGGCCTGCACTCAGGCAAGGATTCAGACCCTGGCTTGCCATACTGGGAGTCTGCCCAGGTAACCTTTGGGACATTTGCAGCCTTAGCCTCCCATGTGTCCTGATAACAACTCAGCTGTTTGCAGTGGGAGCAAGTGGTTAGGGTGAGGAGAGTTGGGTGCAGAGGGGCTGAACTAATGAGGAGGGATTTTGAGGTGTGAGAGTGGGCTTAACCTGTTTATGCCAACGATGGCATGCAAAGGCATAATCTTTAGTTGGTCACCTTTTGTTTCATAAGGTATAAAACAAAAACAAACAAAACCCCATGATTCCATGAATTCTATTAGTATCTATCTTTTCTATGTTAGCCCAGAACCTAAATCTGCTAACAGACAGATCTGCGGGGGAATGAAGATCCCTTCAGCAGAAACACAATTAATGTTCTGGCTGGTAAGCACTCACATATATATCTGGCTAACATTTCGAACTCCATGTACCTAACACTAAACACCTCATCTCTGCCCCCAAATTGACTTCCCTTGACTTCACTATCTGACAATTTCTCCAGTTTATAAGTTCGTATCAATTTTGCTCCTTCCTGTTATATCTAAAGTGTCCTAAAGATTTTCAAAACAGTTTTAAAGAAAGCACAAGTCTTATTTGGTTCCTTCTGTCTGGTAACAGATATCGAACTCACTGTTCATAAAATTAGGATATCTCTAGATTAACAATCTAAATACCCATAAACCCAGGAATAGATTAATTTATTTTATTTTTTTTCCAGAAAGGGATTAACCATGGAATACTATTCAGCCATAAAAAGATGGAGACTTTACATCTTTTGTATTAACCTCGATGGAGTTGAAACACATTATTCTAAGTATCACAAGAATGGAAAGGCAAGTATCCAAAGTATTCAATTCTAATATGAAGCTAATAGGCAATCTAATATACACCTACATAAGACAAAAACTCAATTCAATTCAAGTTGGAAGGAGGGAGAGGAGTGGGGTGGGGGAGGAGAGGGGAAGAGGGAGGAGGGTGGGCATGCTCCCACCTATTGGGCACAATGTAAGGGTATATGGCACACCTCCTGGGTACAGGACACAACTACACAGGGACTTTACCTAACAAATGCAAACCTTGTAACCTAGTCATTTGTGCCCTTGTATTAATCTGAAATAAAAAATAATAAAAGAAGTTGAAAAACACTGTAATGGACAGTGTAAACACTGTCTAACATGACAAAAATGGTAATAAATGGTATCTCTAGATTATTACAACAGCATCCACCCTGTGGGCTCCTAGGTGTTGCAACAGCTCAGACATCTGACCTTGTGCACAGGTGTTGTTGGCACCACTATTTCCTCCTGTGAACAGTTTTTACATTTTCCCTTCATACCTATCACCACCATGCTCATGCAGGTTCTTTATCTGCTTCTATCTTGAGCAGGTTAAGTAATCTGTTGGGCTACCCTCTTTGCCCTTTGAGCTGCTTAAGGACTCTTCACTCATGGTAGAATATTCTTTTTTTTTTTTTTTTTTTATTGAACGGTAACTATGTACATTAATGCACTTCTAGGGTACAGTGTGGGGTTTTCACATGCAATCTGAAATACTTCCATCAACTGGTCAACACAGCCTTCATGTCATTTTCTCAGTTATTGCTTTAAAACATTCACATTCTACTCTTAGAAAGATTCACCTGTACCCCTATAAGGTAAACCTCAGAAGTAACCCCTCCAAACTCCCTCCCTCCACCCATTCCCCCCTCCCTTCTCCCTCCCCCTCCCCATATTCTTAGGCTATTTGGTTATAGCTTTCATATAAAAAGGTTTAAATTAGTTTCATAATAGGGGTGTGTACATTGGATATTTTTTCCTCCATTCTTGTGATACTTTGCTCAGAAGAACATTCTCCAGCTCCATCCATGTGAACATGAAGGATGTAAAGTCTCCATCCTTCTTAATGGCTGCATAGTATTCCATGGTGTACATATACCACAGTTTGTTGATCCATTCGTGGATCGATGGGCACTTGGGCTTCTTCCATGACCTGGCAATTATGAATTGGGCTGCAATAAACATTCTGATACAAATATCTTTGTTGTAATGCGATTTTTGGTCATCTGGGAATATACCCAACAAAGGAATTGCAGGGTCAAATGGCAGGTCTATTTTTAGTTCTCTAAGTGTTCTCCAGATGTCTTTCCAAAAGGAACATACTAGTTTACATTCCCACCAGCAGTGACTTCACCCAGCAGATGAGTGTTCAGCAAGTGACAACGGAGTTCATGCAGCTGAAAATCTGAATTTCGGACCCACATTTTTGCCAGGAGCCAGGCAAATGGGGGGATCTGAGGACAGGAACAATGTTGGAGTGGGAGAGCTGGGTTTGGGAGGCTGGAGCTAGAAGACAGAAATGAAGCATTTATTGACCTCTCACCGTATAGAGAATACTGTGTTCAGCATTCTGAATACACTCAGTCTACTTATTGCCATTTCCCCGCATCAGTAGCAGAGTCCAAGTGGCAAAGCAGAAGGAAGTATCAGAGCATCAGATCCAAGTCCTCTCATTTTAAAGTGAGAAATAAGGTCCAATGAGGAGAGCCTGCCTTCAGGTCATGGAGCTTGTTTGTGGCAGAGGTAGTTCCAGGGTTAGCCTTGTCAATCCATTGTGCATCACAGGTATGGAAAGAGATGACTGACAGAATTATCACCTTCCAGGAGGTAATAATGTTAGTATAAGGAATGAGGACCACCCACCACTGCCTAAACTGTGCTGCCCTGTAAGTGCCATAAAGGTTGGGTTGAACGCAGGACATACTAGAATCAGGCAGTCTGAGCCAGGAGGGTGGAATAGGAAGGAGAAGGAGAGAATGAGAAAGTGACAGGATCTGTTGACTAACTCTGTGTGCATGGGTAGCAGCTTCCCACTGGGCTCCATCTTCAGCATGATTGTATTGCATTGTACTCTTTTTCCATCTCTCTCCTGATTAATTCCCTGGTCTTTTTTTATTAAATCATCACCTTCTGCCACCTTTTTTTGCTTTCACCAGTCTCAGCCCTCATATTTTTTTCCTGAGACAGAAATTTCATGTTTGTCACCCTTTCCTAACCCTTAATTCAAATTTCCCAGCCTGTCTCTATTCTTCCTTATGCATTTTCTTTTTTAATCACCTACCATGTTCACATCTGCCCTACATTATCACTTCTTACTTTTGTTAATCTCACTTGTGCTGGTCTTCCATCTACTCCTTCACCAGTCCTCCAATGAGCATATTTCATGTTAGGTACCCTTAGATCCCCTGACCTTCCTTACCTCCATCCTCATATGTTCCCTGAGATCATAAATTCCACCCTCAAACTGCCATCTCACCTGTCCAAGGGAACAAGTAGTTCCCTGTTGCCACCTTTACCTGGCTCCATCTCACCTGACATTATTATCGTATTAAATTTGCTAAACTGAGCTATTCCTATTCTCACCTGTATTATATTCACTTGACCCTCAAAGGCACATATTTTGTGTCCATTCTTACCTTCTTTGGCCTTCAATGTCTCTCTTACTAATTACCTAAGGTAGCAAATTCTTTATTTTCTGTCCTCATCCCTCCCCCATCAATACTCCCTGTCCCCACGCAGTTGTCTTCTGTGTTTTTCCAGCCAAACAAATTCCCAAATATTAAGACTCATTTGTTTCCCTCACCTATATCCTGCTTACAGATCACCCACCAGTCTCCTGGTCCACGTGATCCCCTACCCTGTTCCAGGTCCCATGAAGATCTCCTAATTTCACTTTGGCTTTTGTTTTCCATTTCCATGCTCCAGATACCCTGTCCTCACATTCTTGAAAGAGAGAATCTTAAATCACTTATTTCTTTGTTTCCAGTCTCATTCACAACTTTTTGCATTCTAAGCATCATTTCCAGACTTCACTTTCTTTCCATTTCCTTTCATGATCCTGCTTTCTACAGAGGTACCTACCCCGTGCTTGCCCTCTGTCCCCTCGACTTTCCTCCCATGTCCCTCCCACCGCACCAGTTCCCCAGTTGCGCCCTCTCCCCCAACGCTGCCCACTCACCGGTGCCCTCCGGCAGGCTCAGGACGCCCTCGCCCTGCACCCAGCGGTAGCACGGAAAGGCCGCCTCCGTGCCGGCTGCTGGGCCCTGCACAGTGACGCGGTCGCAAAACCAAGCGTCGTCCACCAGCCAGTGGTGTTTGCGCAACTTCACGAACTGCAGGAGCCCCAAGTCCTCGGTGACGTTAAGATCAAACTCCTCCTCCTGTAGGGGTTCATCCAGACTTAGCAGGGGATACCTGGGGGAGGGAGGTATGCTGGGGGATGGGAGCGGAGACCGGGTGGTTGGAGGTGGAAGATCGAGTCCTTAATGGAGCCTCAGTTTCCAGGCCTCCAAAGACAGCGCCACCTTGTTCCTACCCCAACACTCTAGAAACAGGTAAGTCCCTTGGGTCTCAGACTCTGCGCGTGGGGTGCGGGAGGAGGAGGCCCTGTAGAGCGTGGCGGTAGTGACTTGAATTGATGACAGCATCGTGATCTATGTGGCTCCTATTAACTGACCTCTTGGAGGAGTTGCACGTTTGACCATTTGTCTAGTTCTGGGGTTATTTGGAGGAGTTGGAGGTTACTAGGACTAGCGTCAGGGGAGGGAAAAGGCGGGCTGAGCTCAGGATACTCTCCCCACCACAACGCCCCCTCCTCGCAGTCGCAAATTCTGCCCCTGGCCTCCTGTCAAGTCCTCCGCGGGTCCCGGCTCCTCCACCTCGCCCCGCGCCGGGCACAGTTGCAGCTCCAGCTCTGCCTCCCCGCGCGCCCCGACCAGCCACAGCTGCACGCGGTTGTACGACCCGGAGAAGTGCCAGGCCCCGGTGGCCACGCGGATGAGGTAGCGGCCCATGGCAGCATCTGCTCCTCTGGACAACAGCGGGTCTATTAATGATTCTAGGGAACGCCTACAGGCCGCTCTTGTCGCGTTGCCACAGGACTAGTCCGGGGCTTAATAAAGCAGACTCTGCGTGCCCGCCCATTGAAGGATCCAGGGAACTTCTGGGTCCCCACCCAGACACACCCGAACCTGAGACCTTCCCGGTGTGGCTGTGAGGAGAGCTGCTCCTCCCTGTGTGGTGCTGAGAAGTTGTGCTTTGAGGAAGGAGGGGCCAAGTGTGGTCGCGGGAAAGCATGAGAGAGGGGACAGGGAGGGTCCACCAGGGTTTCTTTTCCAGGCCTCTCAACTTCTCTCTTCTGTGTTGTTACCAAGACGCACCGCTGAACATTTCAGAAAGGGTCTTGGGTGCAGATCCTCTTTCTTTCCACGGCGCCTCCTTCCCCTGTCAGCTTTACCTACCTTCTCTGCATCCACCAGTCTACGTGCTGAAGGGACACTGGGATTGTCCTTGTGGGCTGAGAAGGCCCCTTTTTGAGGGATACTCAACAGTTCAGGGAAAAGTTAGTGTGTTCACTATGATATGACTTTCTATCTTTATCCACTTGGAAAATAGCAAATAAGTTCCTTTTCTCTCTTTTTCTTTTTCCATGTATTTGGCAAGAGAGAAACAGGGTCAATAGTCTGGATGTTCTTATGTGCTCTACTCTGTGTATACAATTGTTTCTATACAGTATAGATGTAGTCATTTCTTCTAGAAAAATGGGGCGACACTAAATTTTTTTTTGTCTTGGAACTTGTTTTCCAGAATTTACAATAGATGATGGGAAAATCTTCAGATCAATAGATAGAAATCTAACTTCTTATGGAAAAGCCTATTTACGGTGTTCATTCAAATGGTGTTAATTTGGGGGTTTTGTTGAGCTCCTTGTGAATTCTGGGCATCAGTCCACTGTCCTGGGTAGAGTTGGTAAATGCATTCTCTGTTATTTCTTTTGCTGCGCAAAACCTTTGTACTTTAAGTCCCATTTTTTCCGTTTTTGTTTTTGTTGCCTGTGCTTTTGACGTCTTACTGATTCTATGCTTAGAGCAATTTCCAAAAGAGTTTTCGCTAGAGTTTTCTTCCAATATTTTTGTAGTTTCAGGACGTGGATGCGAGTCTTTAATACAGTGATTTTCAACCAGAGTCCTGAGGCACACTGGTATTTCATGAGAGGATCTTAAGTATGCCATAAAAATTTTTACAGATCATTAATTAAACTATTTTCAAAAGAAGTTCGAAGCACAGTAAATACATTCTTTTTTTGCTTTTTTTAAATCAACATGATTTAAGTGCAGCAGAAGTTTAACTATAGGGTTCAAGTGTGCCATGAGATTAAAAAAAGGTTAAAAAATACTCCTGGAATCCATCTTGATTTTTGGTATTTCTATGGTGAGAGTGCTCTCACTTCTTACTTTTTGCCAATTGGGAGGGTGCAGTGTCAAGAACTATGAAGGTTCTAAGATTTTACTTTACTTAAAAACAAGCCAGATAGCCTATTACCATTTCAAGGAGGCTTTCAAGAGACACAAGACTCCTATTTCAGAGAGAAAGGACATTCCCCAAAGAGCAGGAGACAGAATTTCATGTTCCCAGCAGTTCAGCTGTCCTCTCAAGTCCTATGAGTCTGATGCAGGTGAGTCTAAAAGGATGACTACTTGTATAGTGGGTTGCATTATAGGAGAAAATGACCATGCTTTGGGGACTCACCACATTTATAGTAAACATGAAAGTTTAGATCAGTTCAGATCAGTTCTTTGTCTCTGGGAAATATTACCTCACTTCTCATGGCTGTTGCTTGCAAAAACAACTCTGAGAAATAGCTCTAGTAAAGAATAGTCAGGGACTTGCATTCCTGGCATACACAGAAAGCAGGTTTATGGGCACTCAGAGCTCATGGCAGATTTTCTCTCCCAACATAAAGACTTCTATTAGTTGCTGAAAACTTCTAATAGCTACCTATAGAATATAAAGTAAAACCAAAATTCTTCACCAAGGTGTAGTATGCCACCACTAAGCCTGCTGGGCACAGTAGTAAACAAATATAAGAGGAGACTATGTAACTGTGGTATTGTAAGGCTTTCTGTACATATTAATAAGGTGAGGTCCTGAGTCCTGGCAGAGCATGCCCTACTAGTCTATGAATCTAATGCTATAGCAGTGAAGCTGTTATTCCAGCTTTTCTTCACTGGTAGTTCTTCACTATGCTGACTCATTGAGCACTGCACATCCAGCAAGCCTCCAAAAGAAAAAGAATACAATACCATAGCTAGACTACTCTACTAGACCTCTATGCATAAATTTTTATACATCTTATATACCTTATACTTGCCCAAATCAGCATGAAACTAGTTGTTAAAGCAGTACTAAGCCACTTCCAATTCATCATTCTAGTCAATTTTTCAGTCCAAACATCCTTATGTGCAATGCCACTTCTTAGAAATATTCCAGGTAGGCTCAGTGCCCGTAGCACAGTGTTTACAGTACCAGCCACATACAGCGAGGCTGGCAGATTCAAATCCATCCTGGGCCAGCTAAACAACAATGACAACTGCAACAACAACAAAAAAATAGCTGGGCATTTGGTGAGTGCCTATAGTTTCAGCTACTCCGGAGGCTGAGGCAAGAGAATCGCTCAGGCCCAAGAGTTTGAGGTTGCTGTGAGCCGTGACGTCATAGCGCTCTACCAAGGGCATCATAGTGAGATTCTGTCTCAAAAAAAAAAAAAAATCCCAGCTAATGAATGAAATGTGAATGACAGAATTAGAACACCAACTTAGCAATCCCTAAAATAATAAATCTTGGAAATTTTCACCTATACTGGCTAAATTCACAAAGGAGAGGCTGCTAAAGATTATATTTCTCCTGATGGAAATATTTCATAACCACCAATGGAGTTAGTTTTGCCATGAAACATTGCTGACAATGCCCACCAAATCTGTAGCTACTACTAACGATAGAAAATGCACAGAATAAAAGAACACATTAAATAACACTTGTAGGAAATAACCAGCAAAATCAGGATGGGAAATAAGCAACTTGTCACCAACAAATAAATTGCAAGACATAGGAAACACATAAAAACTAAAAGTCATGTAAGAGCTAATTGTAAGATAGAGACCGTATAGATAGAATTTGGGATAGGGAGTTGGCAGGAGACAGTTGCTTTTGAATGTAAATTCTTCTTATTTGAATTTTTGAACACGGTATGTGATGTAGGTACAAAGAATGAAGGACTGATTGTCAAGCAGAATGAACATGTGGAGATCATATTGATGTTATGCCCAACATGCTCCGTAGAAAAGAGGGGCCAGAATGCTGCAAGAAGTGAGAGGTGGAGGGAGAACATTGGCAGTGGAGTACGTTTGAAGATGACTGATGGCAGTGAACTAGTAGAGAGTGAAACATTGCACAAGTAGAATACAGAAGACATAAATATGGAGGAAGAAGACAGTGGGGGAAGGGTGAAATTCAGATGCAGGTGGAAGATTTGGCCTTGGATGAACAGCTAGATTCCTCCTTTGTAAGAGGAGGAAAGGGAGACAGAATGGATGCAGATAATAAGAGAGAATAGTGCCCGTTGCGAAATACCGAGGAGCTCTCCATCTGACAGTGTCCATGTTCACCCCACCCCTCTTCCTGGCCCTGATACTAATTACCACTATGCCTACCAGGAACCCCGGGTCTCATTCTCCCAGAGCTGACCCAGACGGCAGGGCCTTGTTTTCCCAGATTCCTCTTTTCTTCTTGGACAATCAAAGGCTAAAGGCCAAGCAAGATGTACACCCCACCTCGGGAGCAGAGGGGCCAAAGTCTGGTCTCTGATATTCTGTCTTTATTTTCAAGCCCTATAATTTTAATTCAATCACTGCTCTTTCTATTATATTGCACTCAATTTCTTCGACTTCTTGATTACTTCTCTACTAGTACCATTCTCTGCTCTTTCCTTATGACCCAAACACAAAATTTTCCATTCTAGCATGCTATTGCTCATGCAGTCAAACAACAGTTTTCCTAAAGGTTGGGGTCTTGAAGTGAAGGTGAAGGCTTTTATCATCACATAAAGCAGCAAGGGTTGTCACACTTACTGGGAGACATTCACATTGTTAAATATTTTATGGCTATCCTGACAACAGGAGCCACTCTGCTGTCCTTACACAGTACTTTCATTCTCAGATACACACAAACATGAACACACACCACACACACACCCAGGGGCCATGTTACTCAGGCCACTCATTCCCTTTGTTTATGTCCCTTACTCCCCTGCTCTCTCCATGCTCCTCCATTCCCCAGTGCTATTAAAGTTGTAATTGGACACTAAAAGTTCTTTCCATTTTGTCTTATAGAGCCATTCAGTTCCTTTGACCACTTGCTGTGGAGCAGCACAAAGTAATGGCAGAGACTTTGAAGGTCTATTAGCAGGATCAATTTGTTGCCATAACCATCTTCTCCAGCAGCTGGAGTGGAAGGAAGTAGAGACAGCTTCAACCCTAGCACAACCGTCCAAGAAAAAGTGGCTGCATTCCGTTTTCTGGTGGTAGTAAAACATGAAATGCATCTCATTTCTTCCTTCCAAGAACTCAGTCAGGGAGGTTCCATTCTCCATATGACCCTATGAATGTTGGCTTCTGCCCTCACTTCTCTACTGAAACTTCTCCTAAAGCTTCTTGATGGTTTGATAATTCTTAAATCCTGAGGAATTTTCTCAGTGATCATGGTTGTCAAAGTCTGTGCTTCTTTGGGTTTTTGTGTCTTTTACCTGGGTTGCTGGGAGTGGTTCCTGTTCAGGTTCACTGAGCCCAGGCTGTTCTTTTTCTTCCTTGGAGCCCTAGGACGTAAAAAGCAGAGGAAATATTTTTACACAAACCTGTACCTTCTTCTTTTAAATCTCCCCAGCCCTTAGCTTTCTTTATCTTCTAAGCTATGATTAACCAATTCTTAGGAGAGTAACGTGTTATTATCCAGTGTCTAT